CCGGACCCTTCTCCCCGGGGAAGGGTGCCTGCCTCTAAATAGAGTTGGGTTTTACTGCCATCAGTTGCCGAAAACTCTTGATAAGCTGGAGGCTGTCAGTCACCTGTACCCAAGTGGATTCTGGCACCACTACAGTCTTCTTGTTTTGGATCAGTCCTGTTTGCCTGAGGTTATTATGCCCTGGCTCCTCATTACCCATGGTGAAGCTCTTTCCAGCCTGCTTTACTCTGTATCCACTCTTTGATGGCTATTTTAAACACAATTACTGGGGAAGAATAGGTGGCTTTGAGGTATAATGCTAACATCAACACCTGGCTCTCACAGTAATGCGACAGTCTGTACCTTGCAGAATTATAGGTTCTGTTTTGATGATATGGGTTCATCTGGTTTATCTCAGTAATCATTTGAAATGTTATACACACACTCACACACATGTTTTTCCCGGAGACTACAACGATGACAATTTTTCATGAAATACAATGTACTTCCCTTCAGTGACTATATAAGCATTGAACAAAATCATTTACCAGGTAGTTTTTCTTCATATAGAATCTGATCATTTTTACTAATCACAATGATAATATCATTTATTGAGCATTCCCTATCTCCTAGACACATTTCTAAGCAGTTTAAATGTATTAGCTCCTTTATAAGCATACTAAATCAAGCTGAAAGGATATCTAATCAATGGACTTTGTGTCCATTGAATTCAGATAATTATCAATATTGTACTTTCTTGGAAATTCATATCTCTTAGGTTGTTTGTGGTCAATTCTTTTTCTCCTTTTTCCAAAGATCTTGGGGGTAGATTGAGCAGAGAAGTCTCCTTGAGCAGCCCACACAGCAATTGGTCCTCTCCTTCTTTGAAAGGAGCCGGCTGCTCTTTGTCGGTTTCATATCCCTCATCACTGTCACAAACTGACGTGTGTGTCTCCTCTCTTTCGTATCACTCTTACCTTCACGAACACTGCAAAGTTCGGTACAAATTTAGTGCTTAAACTTGATTTGGAAAATTCTGAAGAGCCTCTTTCTCTGTTCTCCTGGTCTCCCCTCACCACTGTCCTTGAGGTTATAAACCTGGATGATGTAGAAATTTCTGAGTGAGCCTACGCAGGAGTTAGTGTGCAGGTAAGCTTTTCCATGACTGCAATGCTGCCAACCTGTGCTTTCCTCTTCTTCCCCTTACTAGGATACTTGTGGCTCCTCCAGGGTTGAAATTAGGGAAAAAATGGGAGGAAAAGGGATGCGTATATACGTTCTTGCTGACTGATATTGTCGTGTGTTGGCATCAGCACAGTGTAGGGCAAACTCATGGAGTTTTTGGAGACGTCTCCGCCCCATCACTGAGATGTGCTCTCCTGCAGTTCACCTTGAGGATGGTAAATGAATTCTTCAGGCAGGTTACTTAGTCTTTCCTCAGCCTCGTGCCACATAGTTGTGCACTTCCAGCTTCTCTCTGCTAGGATCACTTGACCCCTCCAAGTGGCCTTTGGAACAGGATTTAAGATAGCTTCAAGTCAGCTTTCCCCTTTGCATGGACCACTTCATTCAGGGAAATCACATATATTCTTTGTTCCAGAAAACTGAGGAGGGACCTCCTTCTCTCCTGCCTGCAGAATGGCTGGATAACCACAGTAACTTCCCTTTAGACGTCTCAGGAATGATTGAGACTTCAGGGTACTTTGCCCCCAAGCACCAGGAGGCAAGGATTAAGTTTTGTCTTAGGTTAGGGAAGGACATCTTTAAAGCCCATTTCACTGTTATTGAGCAAGAGACATGCATCTCCAGTTGCTACACCCTTCTTACCACTCCTCAAAATTTTCTTCTCTTCCTTCTATTATTTCTACTCTTTCTCAGCCTCTCCAAATTCTTTTGTGGATTGGAGGTGGGGGTGTTCAGCTAAATCCCTGAACTGTTTCCCTGCCATCTATTTTAAAAGTCCTGCTTTTGCTTTCTCATAAGTCACTTTGTAACGTAAATGAGGTTGATCCCATGTCTTACGGCCCCAGTCGAAACTGTGCTGCTAGTTCCTTGAACATTTTGTTTTACCTACAACCAAAGAGAATATTGCTAAAAGTTATGACTAATCAATTCACAGATGTGAATAGCCAACACATATTAAAAGATGCTCAACAGAATTAAGAAATCTTGGAAATGTGATTAGAGCAATTAGATATCATGTGTATTTGTCATATTGTTGGAGTGTATATGACTGATAACAGCTAGTATTAGTGGCACGTAAAGAGATGATACATTGTTGGTGGAGTATGCGTTGGGATAGTCTTTTCTGGAGAACAGTCTGTCAGCTTCCATTAAGATAAGAAATGTGCACATTCCTTGACTCATCATTTCTGTATCTCACTTTCTACCCTAGAAAAATACTTGTCCATGTACTTGAAAGACAGGCCAAAGACGTTCATTGCAGCATTGCTTATGAGAACACAAACTAGAGATAGCCCATCAATTGCAGAAGAGTTAAATTAGCAATTTCCCAATCTCCCTTGAAGTTAGTGGTGTAATATTAGTGAAGGAATGTGGGCCACTTACAGATTATGGTTTTTAACAAGTGCGTGTGCTCTCTCCATGCTCTTCCACTTGCTGGATGAATATAATCAGAAGACACTAGAATATGGCCAGCAACCAGGTGGAATGAGCTTAGGTTCCTGATTAGAGGAAAGCTGCCTGTCAACCTGCATCACTCTCATTGGACCCTCGTCGGTGAGTAAGACATAAACGTCTACTGCATTAAGCCACTGATGCTTTGGGACTTATTTGCTAAAGTAGCTAGTGTTACCCTAGTGCAAATGATATGTAGCAGTTAAAAAGAAGGAAGTAGATTAGTAGGTTTTGACTTAATCATGTCTCAAAAACGTATGTTAAATGAAGAAAGCATATAATATGATGTTTATTTATTAAATAACATTTATATATGTGTGTGCATATACATATGTGTGTAGGCACGTAGAAAAAGTATTGGAATGTGAACACCCTACCAATGATAGTGGATACTTCCAAGGTGGGAAGTGGGATTGGATACTGTGGTAACTGGAGACTTTTGCTTTGTATTATTGAAATTTTTATGAGGAGAATATTTCTTTTATTACTTGTGTAATTAAAAATTATAAAAGAAATTGGATTGACTCCCTGAGCAATTGCTTGGCTCAGACTGCTCCTTTTTGTTTCTGTCCTGTACGTGAGGAAAATAGATAAAAGCTTTTCCTCCTGCCCTTTTCACCAGTATCCTGTAATCAGTAGAGATTATTAGTAATAATTCCCAAATTACGTTTTTTGGCACAGTTATGAGGAAATTCATCAAGGTTTTTAAAAACCACCACAGACTATTCTGAAATAACTTGAGAAGAAAAATGCTAACCAGTCAACTATGACGGCAAAAACACATACAGATTTAAAATACCTTGATGGGACTGTGAATGGAGCATGATTGAATTCATAAGCATGCCTTTTAGAGAAAACTGGGTTCCCTCTACTGTCGTGACACCACCTTTCATCAAGCGACGATGACGGAACTTCTCATGTTGAATTTGGCACGACAGCAGCGTGGCAGTAATGGGAGCACAGCCCCTCCTTGCACTGCTTTCGGCATCCAGGGAGTCACCAGGGTATGTCTTCTAAAGGAGTGAGAATGTCTAGTGTCCAGTCATAAATGACCCAGAAAACAGCAGCACCAGAATGCCTTCCTCCTCCTCTGCCACGCTGCTTTTCATTCCTTGCTTCCTTCAGGCCCGCTCCGCCCGCTGGTCATTGATACATTTACGCAAATGCACTTGGTGCCACTTTGGCTACCCCTTTGGTTACCAAGGCAACTGCCTGTTCTCATGCCCTTTGAGAAGAACCATTAGGGACTCCCTTAGAGGCTCTATGACTTGGAGTGACCTGATCATTCTGCCCACACACCTTCATAAGGCTCATTTCAGGTCATACCTTGGGTACCACACACCACTTGCCTAGAGTGTGGGTTTTAAGACTCATCCCTGTCTTCTCCTTTTCACTTCATTCTCCTAAACAGGGTTGGATTTGGCCTTATACCCCCCATTTCTCTCCTCACTCAATGTTTCCTACACTAGTTTTATTCCATGATTCCTGCTACAGCATTTGGTAATACTCAGGTAAAATAGAAATAGCAGTGTATCATTGTGCTTAGCGAGAACACTATAATGTTACTTTCCTTCCCTTGGTGTCTCACTTCTTACATTCTGCAGGTGTTTATCAGTGTTGCAAAATACCAGCCAGGTGGGAGTTTAAGCTTGGAGTTTTAGAATGGAATACCAGACATTGTGCTTCATAGGAGATGGAAATGGTTCAGTCTGGGAATGATGAGGTTGGTGAGGGTGGGGCAGCTCAAGGGTGAGTTAGGAAGTGGGGGGAAGCCAAGGGAAGACAGCTGCTGCCAGCAGAAACTCACTTTGCCAAGGACCTTCTCAAGAATTACAACCTGGCAGTAAGCTTAACTTCCACTTGATTCTAATGCATTAAAGCTAACATCAAGGTAAAAGAAAAGTAGCTTGAAAAGTCTAACTCCTACCTCACTGTGTGTATGATTGCTTTTCAGTGAGAAGAGGAATTGTGGCCTGAGCAATCAGAGTGATGCAGGGAGCCAGCATTAACGAGAAGATGAATGACTGTCTTTCTGTAAGTCAAACTTGCCCTGTTGGTTGAAGTGTGTTTGCTCCACTCTCCAGCTCTCTGGTGACCTTGTTCACATTCTGCCAACAATCTGCTCATTCCATCTCCAGTCTGAGGCTTATATGGATTCTGATGTGACCAGCACAGAGGCTCCTCCACATACTCTCTCCTGCACCCCCTCTTTTGCCATGGCCTGTGGGACCCTCATCATAGTGTAGAGGGGCAGTCCTTCATCTGGTAACTCCCTCCTCCTCTTCCTCTTTTGGTAGAAACTCTGCCTCCTTCCTTACGTGTACAAGTCCCCTTGTCTCTAGAGCTCCTTCTGTACCATTGGCTGATTTTGATTCTTACAATTTGAATGCTTGAAGTGATTACACTATTGTCTCCCACTGCCTCTACTTGTTTCCTTTCCCTAAGTAATTTTAATGTTTTGTGCAGTTTTTTCTCTTCTGCCATCTTGGGATTCAAGTTAATGACCCTTAATCTCATCCTCCTTGGCTTGACTGAATACTAATTTTGTCCCCATCTCCATCTGTCCAGATTTCATCCATCCCAGGCTCAACTCAGAAACTATCCCTTCTTCACAGCTTTTCCTGATCCCTGAAGCAACAATTACAATCTAACTATTTTTTTTCTGGATGACTATATTCCTTTATTTTTACCATGTTATGCATTTAAAATGTTTGATCTTTAAAGTTTCCCCTTGTTAAATATATGATATATAAGGACAAGAACTGTCCCTAAGTATGTTATTCATATTTATGTTTCTGTCAACCCTATTCCAGCACCTCCTTTTGCACTTGGCATACAGAGTGCACTTAATAAACGTTAATTTGGAGACTGAATGACGACAGCTACCTCCTTACCGTTTCCTGTTACAGTGTTGCTTATTACAGTCCTATAAACTATAAGCCCCAAACCTCAAGAATTCCAGGAACTCCTTGGATCACTTCCACAATGCTATTTCTAATAATATAAATAATACTTTAAAGCAGATCTTGTATGTTGAGCCCTGTCATAAATGTTGGTGGAAGAGTATTATGACTTGCCCATAGTGAAGCCACTTGTCCTACTAGGGCTAAGGGAGGCCCCATCAGCCCACTGGAACCATGCGGCCTGACCAGGATTATAAAATAGGGGAAGAGTCATCCCCAAGACAAAGAACATGTGACCACTTAATTTCTTCCTTATCCCCATCCTGTAGCCCTCCTCTAAAATCGGCTAAGTTGCAATTCTGAATAGATTGTTTTGCTTAAAATCCTTCAGTAGCTTTCAGCATGAAGTTCAAGTGCCCACTTCAGCATTGAGGCTTCCCTGAGCTTCCTGTTTCTGAAGCATCATCATCTTGCACTAAGCCACATGCATGCCCACCCTTTAATCACAACAACCTTCTTTCAGTTCTCAAACCTGGCATGCTATCTTAAGCATCTGTGATTTCTTCACTGTCTATTTTTTCCTTTCTAAATGGTTCCTTTTCTTCATTTTAACCTGGTATCTTAGTCAACACGGGCTGTCATAACAAAATACCATAGACTGAGTGGCTTTAACAACAGTTACTTCTCACAGTTCTGAAAGCTGTACAGTCCAAGATCAAGGTGCCGACAGAGTCAGTTCTTGGTGAGAGCATCCTTCCTGGCTGCAGACAGATGCCATCACACTGTGTGCTGACGTGACCTCTTCTTTGTGTGCACGTGGAGGGAGGAAGGCGGCGGGAGAGAGGAGGAGAGAAACAAACTCTGGCCTCTCTTCCTCTTATAAGGACACTCATCACCTGTCATAGGGTCTCTACCCTCATGACCTCATCTAAACCTAATTACTTCCCAAAGGCCTCACAGCCTAACGCCATCACACTGGGGATTAGGGCTTCAACACAGGAATTTTGAGGAGATAAACATTCAGTCCATGACAACTACTAAACTCCTTTTTACCCTTTAAACTCAGTTTAAGGGTCATATATACTGGGAATCCCTCCTGACTTCCCTGTTTTATTCAAATTCCCCTCTCTGTTCTTACAGCATTATCTGTCTGGGTTGCTGTGTCCCAGCACTTATAACACCCTCTATAACAATGTGTTTACCTGTCTGCTTCCTTTCTTTTTATTCAGTTTTGCATCCATACCACAGCCCAGGGTCTGACTTAAAGTAGTAACTTGGTCTCTTTAAAGGATTTAACTGCCAATATGTTTCAGGCCCCTCTATTAAATTCAGAATAAAAAGTCGCTTTATTTATTTACTTTTTGCACTTTAAGAAGTGGTTATATTGGATATATTTGTTATTCTTCAACTCTAGAATTTTGTGAAACTTTCTGTTCATTTCTGTTTGAATACTCTATTTGGCGATTATTAATAGCTGATGCTGCGATTGAAGCACTTACAGAGCGGAGTTATATTAATTATTCATTTGCTTTTTTGTGTATCTCACTGTACTGTGAAGTCCCAGAGGTATGGTCTAGATCCTATTCATTATTGCACAGCCAATGCCTAGCACCCAAAAAGTGCTCAGTGGATGTTTATTGAATGAGTACCAATACCTAATCCTGTTTTTCCAACTACCCTCACATCTCCTTGTAGAAGTACTGAAATCAACTCTCCTTTTTTCCACACTCTTTAGATCCCACCTTTCTGTATCTTTTAAGACCTCCTGTTACATAATTTCTCCCCTCTTTTCTAGTTTGGAAGCACAGAGGAGGGCGTGCTTGTCTGCTTGTGGTGCTTTGACACCTCTGAGTTCAAATGGGAGGGCGGGGGCAGCTGACTGCGAGGAGGCATCAGGAGTCCCATGTGGCAAGTTCACGGCGTCTTCATGTCAGTCAGACGCAAGTAAAGACTAGCAAGTCCAGGACACAGCCTAGGAGCCTCTGAAAGTGAGGGATAGGGTTGAGTTGATCCCTTGCTTAAAACTGTGGGCAACAATAGGATCATTTGGGGAAAGGCTTGGTGGCTACCACTTGCTCCATTGTTAATAGTAAGATCACCTGAGCAAATGCAGGGGTTTCAGAATAAAAGCAAAAGGTCAGAGTCTTAGTGTCAGCACTTTTCCGCTTCCACGCCCAACACTGTGCAAGTCATAACGCCTAAGAGCCTTGGTTTCCATATCCCTGGTGTGGAATAATCACATGCATCCTCCTTACTGCATACAAAGTGTTCCTAGGATCAAATGAAATGAGGGCTGTAAAATCAACTGCAAAATGTTAGTGGGTTTATCAGTGTGAGGGGTTATTGTTATTACTGTTATGTTAAAGAGAGGATGGTATGCTTACCCAGTTCAGATGTACAGTGGTAATTAGACTGCCTGCTTTGCTGTGTCCCGTTACCAGTTACACCTATTACATACATAGTCAAGAAAAACAGTAACTAGTCCTCAAATATGAGGACTTGGCAGCACCATTTGTGACGCACAGTTCAACCTAACTTTGCCTGGTAATTGGGGCGACCATCTATGTCAGCCCATTAGCTTTACCCAGAAGGAAAGCTAACTTTTCACACCTTCAGGACAACTTGGAACAAAGTGCCTACCAAAGTTATGCCCCTGCCTTCCTACAGAAACTGGAAACAAGGCTGCTTTCTCTCAAAGTTACTTCATAGAAATGCTTCCCAGGTTCTTAACAAAGGTGTTTTTGGGTTCTCAAGATGACAAAGCTTTCAAAAGGTGTTAGATACATTGCAAAGGGAGGAGAAAGCACTTAAAATTACAAGTGAATGGTTTAAGAAAAAGGAAGATAGGAAATCTCATTGCTTATTTTCAGTAGAGAGAGTTAAGCTGCTTCTGTCAAATTTTTATGTGTAAATAACTTAAGAAGTCCAAAGGTGAAAAGTATTCAACCCAGACTGTACTGGGGTTTATTTTTCTTACTGATTTATGAGTGCTCACTCAAATTAACAGTAATATTTATCTTTCATACCCTGCATATATGTTTCCATAGTACAGTTGACCCTTGAACAACATGGATTTGAACTGCACTTACATGGATTTTTCAATAAATACAAAAATACACATGTAGAAGAACCTCGCGTGTGAGACTTGTATTGAAGTGGAGAGCCTAACCTTACACGAGCATATGGTGAGTGATATTTAATATAAAGTTCATGATGTGTTAGTTTTCTTACTGTTTTATAACTTTGCTTTCAAAGAATTATACTAGGTTAGAGTGTGCTTCTCTCTTTTGTAATTGGAGAAACTGCGAATTAGCCTGTCTCAGGTAAGTGATTTTGTAAAAAAAAAAAAATACTGTTTTCAGTACTGTATTATGAATATGACTGTAATGCTGTATGCCATAAAAATTTTATAATGATTCACTCCTTAGTGTATAGGATAAGCTACCATGAAGCAATCACGTCACTTACAATAGGCTACTATAAACAGTCAAGTTGCTGTTTCTTTGTTGTCAGTGCATGGATCATTTTACCTGTAAATAGACAGGAATTCCTGTTTAATGTTATCTTTTCATTTTTCACATCTAGTGTAAGTAATTCTTTTAACACCTATAGTGTTTTGTGTCATATAAGACAATGTTGATGTAGGTACTGACAGATAGACAATTCATTTTATAAACAGATAACATAAACTTACATTATCGATAAACAAAGTACAGTACTATATATATATTTTCTCTTATGATTTTCTTAATAACATTTTTTTCTCTAGCTTACTTCACTGTAAGAATACAGTATATAATGCATATAACATAAAACATACGTGTTAATTGACTACTTATGTTATCAGTAAGGCTTCTGGTCAAGAGCAGGCTATTAGTAGTTAAGTTTTGGGGAGTCAAAAATTAGAGGCAGATTTTCAGCTACACTGGGTATTGGCATTCCTAAGCCTCATTGTTGTTCGAGTCAGCTGTGTTTCTTTTGTCTTCTAATTTCATGGCATATTTTACTACACATAAAAACTCAGACTCCCTACCTCCAGGAAGCTTGGGGGAAGCTGCAGTCAAATTTCATTTGATTGAAATAGTTAAAGTAAAAAAATTCATATTGAATTCATACTTGATAATGTTTCAGCATTTTACACTGAGCATCTTGGAAGTCTCAGGCCAAAGTAGGTTCTCAGTAAACGTTGGCTGACTTGATAGATGGCTGAATTATCTAAAGACGGAACACCGGCCACATCGAGAAGGATGAGTGTCATATCAGGGTCAGTGGATTCCTCTGCAGATTCCCCCAGATAATTAACTGCATGAATATCCACATCTCAGCACTTTCCTCTCATCTCTGCCCCCCCTCCCCCAGTGGGAATATCTGAAAAGCACTTTTAACACAGACTTAAGTTTAATGGACATAAAGCAGTATTAATTAATTTGGCAAAGCTTCCTTCCTATGCTCTGCCAAATTCTAGAACTTCTACTACATACATCTAGTGAGCAATGGCTGAATAAGAGAGGGCCCTCTCTATTCAATTTCCCCCCCAGCCAAAGGCATACTTCCCTGATACTTGGGCTTGTTTCCCCAAATCTCTGGGGTGGATAAACTCTGCTGATGGTGGGTAGGTCACAGCACTACACCATGGGGGCCCTAAGTGGTGGATGGCTTGCTTCTTTTTGCTTGTGATCACCATAATCTTTCTCACTTTCCCAAGATGCTGTTTCTTTCCTGGTTAGGGTCCATTCTGAAACCTCTGTGATCCTCCCACCCTCAGCAAGCTTCTGAGAGTTTCTCTCAGCTCTCTGACAACCAGCCTGCTCTACGTGACATATCTCTTCTACAGCCATGCTTTTTATTGTGCATATGTATTTAGAATAACAGAGTCACCTAGAGGTGGTCACTTATGTAAAATATGATACTGCAAGTCGGCAGTTTCCTCCTTCAAGAAATCCTAAAACACGTCATTGTGCTTTCCTAGTTTCAACCAGTAAGATGTTGGTAATTAACTTAATCTTACTATCAGTCATGAAAAAGGCAGTGCTTTTTCACTTTTTGGAGATACCATCTGTCTTGAACTATTGGGAAGAAAGAATCCCCCAAAGATAAGAGGAGCCCCATTTAATACAAGGAAACTGCAATTCATTTGTAGCTACCATGGCAGTGTATAAAGACTTAGGCGACAGCCAAGCTTTAAACATTTAAACATTTAGTCAGGTGGTTATTTGGCATTATGCCACTTAACATACAGTTGATTGATTTCATTTTTAAATCATTAGATCACATCATCCTGATGTTTTGGCATTTTGCTGGGGGCCTCAACGTGCAGTGCCTTTAAAGAGAGCTCTCTACTGCCGTCTCATGGTGGATGAGTGAATGGCTGGGAGTTAGGAGGCAGTGCTGGCTCCACCACTGAGGAGGTGAGTTTGGGTAAATTGGATAATCTTGGGTAAATTAATGTATGTGGGCCTCAGTTTCCTCTTTTATAAGTTGCAAGTTGAATTGATTATAAAATCCTGTAAATATAGGGCTGTTTAATTGGCAAGGAAAATGCTCAGAACTCCGAATAGCTTTGCATAAAGCTCTGTGTTTTGGCTTCTGTGCAGTTTTCATTTTGACTTCTAATGTACTCCCTGACTCACAGGTTCAAGTGATTTATAAGGAGTTCCATGTTATCCTGTGAATTAATACACCCTTACACTCTTCCGGTACTGGGGCTTTTTTTTTTTAAATACAATGAGAGCATTCTTCATGGAGATAATTAAAAGCTTTTGCCCTCAACCAACAAAACAAGCTTTAATCAGAAAGTTGAATGTGGAGATTCTTCCTAAGAACCTGAATAAATCAGGTACAAACCAGGATGCAGATATGGAAGATCAAAGTGGAAATTACTTCTGCTGCTCCCTTGAAGAGCAAATTGTTTTATTGACTTTTCTTCAACAGAGTTCTTGTTCTGCCTTGTAGGGGTTTTTCTTATTTGCATTTTTTTAAAATGGAATTTGATGATCTGTACGGGAAGGAACAAAGACCTTTGACTAACGTAGCCTCTGCCTTGCTAGAGGCAGAGCTCACTTTGATATTGTGCTTTTTAAGTATAGTGGAGACTTCCATGGCCTCCTGACTAAAAGCCAGCTACGGCCTCTCCTTTCAGCAAGCAGGCAAGGGTGTGGGAAAGAAAACCAGGGCACCTCAGTCTTCCCCCAAATAGGAGCCTGAGATGCTTCTGTCAGGAGGAGCTGCTTGGGCAATGTCTGTCCTTACCCAGACTTCAGCCTTTTGGGGACTGGCAGAAATGTGGGGAATCCCTCTCTCGAGAATTTCTCGGGGACACACAGGGCCTGGACAAGCCTCATATTACAACTTAGTCAACCTAAGGGGTGTGAGCAGCAATGCTTTGCTTGGTTGTTATGTAAGATGAAAGGAGTCTCAAAGTCGAGTGAAACCGCACAATTCAACTGCGTTCATTTACTCTAAAGACGCCTTACTATGTAGGTTGTGCATGAATTTCTCCCATTCGCAGGAGTAAAGCACAGTAACCAGAAATCATCAATGTTTTGTAAACGTGACTAATCTCTTACATAGCCTCTCTTTCTCTCTCTTTTTCCTACTGTTCAGAATTTTTCATATTGGCTGATATTTTGCTACTGCTTTTCAGTATTACTTTAAAAAAATCACTTGAGGCCGTGGCATACTGTGGGGCTTAGGATTGATACAGGGTTATTAGGGAAGCCTGCTCTCTCAAGCCTTTAGATTGCTTTGAAATATTTTGCTTGAAAATGGCAACAAATAAATCTGAAGCTCTGCCTTCCAGAATCGGCAGCATGGTGCGTTTCCAGGGTCCTCTTGGCTTTTACTGAGCTGTCGCCACCCAAAAATAGTGGTGGGCTCATAAATGTTTAGCAAATTGTGGTGATGAATGTGGCCAGGGCTAACATAGCCAGTGTGTGTTTTTTTTAATCATGCATCATTTAGTACAAAGATGACTCTTGGATGTTTTGGCAAATTAATTTGTATTGCACTTCAGAGAAGGGAGAGAGCAGCTGGGCTCTAGCCCACGTTGCTGCCCTGGCTGTATCTGCTAATAAAGTTGCTGCTGCTACTGCCTCCTATGAAAGCACAAGTGGAACCGCAGGCACAGGGAATTCTCTGCTGCTTCCCTCCAGGGTTTTGGTTGAAGCCATGTCAGTCCTTCTGTAGTGGTTCCAAGGGTTCCTGCTGTGCTTTGTCAGCAGCGTCAGTGCAGCAACCGAGCAACCTTTTCCAAAAGAATCATCCTCTGCAATTTAAAAATCAGTCACAATGCCACCTCCTCTGAAATCTGATTAAATGTGTACTCCTGGGTATTTGTACAGTTCAGGTGTGACTCCTCCCTCATCACTGTGTGATGTTTTGTGTAACCTGTCGTGAAAGGTCTTATATGGCCTTGGTGTTGATTTAAAGATATGGTCCGAAAGAAGACCGCATTTGAAAAAATTTCCGAATTTAGTTCCTCTTCTAAGAAAACATCAGATGGGAAGTGGAAGGAGAGGGAGAGTTATGTGAATATGAACATAAACACTTTAGTAATCTTTCCCGATGTGGGTCATTCTGGTAGCCTCTGCACGAATGGCTGCTGTTACCCCACACCTCTATGTCGTTAAATCTCATCTTCCAGCTGAATTTAGCCCAACAAAGCCAGCATGTGTGAGCCACCAGGTTTTCTTTTCTTCTATATTGCTGCCCCTTTCTGTTCGGTTGCCATTCAATCCTTTAAAAAAAATTGGGAATATATATTTTTGTTGCAAATCCTCTTTCGTTTGGTTTTTTCCTAGTTCTGCCTGTTAGCCTTGCTAGGATTCTGCAAGAACCATCCTTGCTCATCTGCTTAGAGGGCAGAGAATGGGAGAAGCCACATGGGCAAAGCCAGAACTTTCTTTAGCAGGAGAAAAGAAAGGCTGGAAATACACATATTTTAATAACTTTTTGATGGCTACAGTCTTGTCTCTGGGTATACATGACCTCCTTCTAAAAATAGATAAGAAAACCGTGCTGTTTTCTGTCTTCCAGAGGAGCTCTGGGGCACCAGGAGGGGCTGAAGCCTGGGGTTAGGTTTAGGTATTTTTGTAATAGAAACATGTTTACTAAGACCTTGAAGACTTGACTTGGAGTTAACAAAGAGTCTTAGGAAGAATAAAGGCTTTTCATATCACTTAATACTGTCATTTAATACTAAAAGATATTTTTTACTATTTCAATTATGAATAGCTCTATGATTATCTTAATATATAAAAGTTTACCTTTTTAAATAATTTATACTTTAAGCCTGTGTGTTTGGTTATTTGGTTGCTAAATGGTTTCAAGGACTCTAGTCCTTGAAAAGGCAGCTAGGCAAGTGTTTCATGGTTAGACCTCTTCTAATGGTCTTTGTAGTGGTGATGATAAAGAAGATGATGGCTAATACTTATGGAGAGGTTAATTTGTGCTAGGTGTGTCTAAGATGTTTCTATTTATTAATTAATTTAATCTTTACAGCAACTTCATTAATAGGAACTTCTGTTATTTCCATTTTTCACGTAAGGAATCAGAGGCACAGCGAAGTCACGTAACTGGTGAGGTGGGTTTGGTACCAAGTCGCATGTATTGACTGAGCACAACCACTGCCTAGCTTTGTAGCCTTTAATAAATGGCCAAGCAGAACTTACCCTAGGGCTGCCTTTGGTGGGCTGTCAGCCAGTTTGCAACCTCTGTTCAACATTTATCTCTATTAGAAACACAGATTGGAAAGTTGCCACTGGCTTCTGATGTCAGATAATGTGCCATCCAGCTACACATTAATAAATAAGGATAGGAAATAGAATCAGAGCTCTTGGCCTGTCTGCGGCAGACAGATTACAGCCCTTAGGGCACCCAGTTTCTGAGTAAATTAAAGACGTCACTATAGAGTTATGGTTAGCAGTTTTTGAATCTGAGTGTCTGCTCTTTGGTGCCCAGTACTGTGCTAGGTAGACATAATAGAAAACATAAAAGAAGCAGAGAAAAATACATTATCAGTTTTAGAGCCACCTATAATTTTATAGGGAAAACATGACAGCACACTGGTACTGACAGTACATGAGCACATTTGAGTAAAATTCAAGGTGTGCTGTTAAGCTCATGAGTACGAAGGGAGCTTTGTATTGCATAGTGGAGGCTGGACCTAACTCAGGGGGACACATGGCTGCTTCAACAGCTTCATCATCCCTGAGCCCTGGGAAATATAAAATGTTCATTCCACGTTCACCATCTTCAAAGCCTTGAATGTAGCATGACTGTTAGCATTGAATCCGAAATTGGCCAGTGATATTTTTCTGCAGTGACTTTGGATTCATAGATGTACAGATGAGTGTTAGAATTAATACTGAAAGGTATAGTGTGACCTCTAGAAGTGTCTTTGCCACTTTCTGAAAGTCTGGGGTAATGGTTCTCCATTGGTCCTGAAATGTCCAGGGACATGGCATGGTCCAAATGGCTAAACCCTTCATTCATTCAATACGTAATTAGAAGTTGCTGTTATGTGTCAGGTTTCTACCAGCTTTTTGAGATGTTTCAAATTCTAGGAAAGAAAAGCACAGAATTCAGTGTCAGGAAATCTGGGTCATAATCCTGGCTCTCTCCTTAATTTACATTGAGGCAGCATAAAAGTCAATTTACTTACCTTGGCTTCAACTCTGCATTTGTGAATGAGCAATGGGCTACATCTGTTGTTCATAAGCTGCTCTGTGGAGGTCTGGGGTTTCTTTCTCAGGGTTGCAGGAGGAGACTGCCACAGTGGTTCTCAGCCCCTCATTCCCAGAGGGCATTTTGGTCCCGTCTGGGGAATGTGTGTGTTACAGGCATCAGGTGGGCAGAGGCCACAAACGCTGCTCAACATCCTCTAGTGTCCGAGCTGGCTCCTGTGACAGTGAATTATGTGGCCCCAAATCCCAGCAGCACCCAGGTTTAGGAAACTTGCCTTGGAAGATTTCTATGAGCCTGAGCTAGTGAGGCGGGCTTCTAACCAACGAGCACCAAAGTATCACTACTTTTATTTGCTGGGTGTAGCAGACAATAAACGTGCAAACTTCTGTTTCCTCTGTTTTCTTTAATTGCGCTTAAATTATATTTTAATGCCTCCACTCTGGTTCTCGGTCAATTCAGTTTGCACTAAGGAACCTCAAGGTCTGCTTTCCTTTCTTCTCTTCAGCTCTGAATCTACCTCTGGGGCTTGAAAACCATCTGCCAGTGGGAGGAAGTGGATGTATGGTTTACTGACATTTAATCCTACACTCTTGTCTGCAGCCATACACTCGTTTTTGCTAGTCTTCAGCCATCAGTTTTTTTTTTTTGAAGTATAGTTGATTGACAATATTGTGTTAGTTTGAGGTGTATGGCATAGATTCAGTATTTTTGCAGACTTTCTTCC